AGTCAGAGAGGTACTAGGATGAGGGTGGCAGGCAGAGGGTACATCAGATTTGTTCTTACAGGTGTTTTTTTCCTTTTTTTTCTTTTTCGAGACAGGGTCTCATTTTGTCATCAAGGCTGGGGTACAGTGGCACAGTCATGGTTCACTGCAGCCTAAAACTCCTGAGCTCAATCCTCCTGCCTCAGCCTCCCAAGTAACTGGGACTACAGGCACATACCAGCATGCCTGGCTAATTTTTAATTTTTTTTATAGAAACAGGGTCTTGTTACAATGCCCAAGCTGGTCTCAAATTCCTGGCCTCAAATGATCCTCCCACTTCAGCTCCCAAAATGCCGGAATTACAGACATATCTTTTCTTTTTTTTTTTCTTTTGAGATGGAGTCTCGCTCTGTCGCCCAGGCTGGAGTGCAATGACGTGATCTCGGCTCAGTGCAAGCTCCACCTCCCGGGTTCACGCCATTCTCCTGCCTCAACCTGCTGAGTAGCTGGGACTACAGGCATGTATGCCACCATGCCCAGATAACTTTTTGTATTTTTTTAGTAGAGACCGTGTTAGCCAGGATGGTCTCGCTCTTCTGACCTCTTGATCCGCCCACCTGGGCCTCCCAAAGTGCTGGGTTTACAGGCATGAACCACCAGGCCCTGGCCCATTACAGACATATCTTAATAAGGACTCAGGTTTAATACTCAGACTGAAATGGAAAGCCACTGGATGGTTTTAAGCAGAGAAGTGACAAGGTATGACAGGTTTCAAAAGAATCACTTGGGTTGCTATGTTGAGAAGAGATTTAAGAGTCGCAGTAACAAAACAAGGAGAATAGAATCCAAGCTAGCGATGCACAGGCGCTGACTAGGGCAATGGAGATGCAGATCCTAAGTGGTCTAATTCTGGATAGTATTTTGAATATAGAGCAAATAAAATTTACTGATGGACCACATATGAAAAAGACAGAGAAGAGTCAACAATGTCTCTTAGTTATCCAAGAGGAGACATCAAGTGGAGACCTTGAGCGGGCCACTAGACATATTAGTCTACGGTAGAGGCAGAGATCCCCGTTAGAGAGTCATCAGCATTGTTTGGATTTTAGAATGGCAATATGGTACATATACTGTATCATCTCTCTCTCCCAGCTAGGGCTGGGGTAGATCCCCATAATCAAGCAGTCGCATTTCTGCATCATGCGGGACAGCCCAGGTCAGGTTGTGCTCCAAAATTAGTTGTGGAACTAGACTTACCAAAAAACAAAAATTCTTGCATTTCAGAACTGCAAATAAAGGATGTGGACCTGCATATCCTCCAATAGCCCATATATCAGCAAGCCTAGCCCTGGAGGACACCAAGAAGACTCATGAAGGGTCTACTGTCATGCTGAAAAATATGGGTAACATACAAGCACACAAGACAAAAAGGGGGTAGGGAAAACAAAAGCAAAAGGGGCAAATAAGAAATACATCAGTTAGAAATTGCCACCAATGACCAGGCACAGTGGCTCACGTCTGCAATCCTAGCACTCTGAGAAGCTGAGGCAGGAGGATCTCTTGAGCCCAAGAGTTCGAGACCAGCCTGGGCAACATAGGAGGACTTCATCTCTATAAAAATATTTTAAAAATTAGCCGGGTGTGTGGTGGCACACACCTGTAATCCCAGCTACTTGGGAGGCTAAGGTAGGAGGGTCGCTTAAGTCCAGAAGGTCAACACTGCAGTGAGTTGTGATCATGCCACTGCACTCCAGCCTGATGACAGAGTGAGACTTCGTCTCAAAAAAAAAAAAAGACATTATGCGAAGAAAAGACATTATGCGGCTGGGTGCAGTAGATCATGCCTGTAATCCCAGTACTTTGGGAGGCCGAGGTGGGCGGATCATGAGGTCAGGAGTTCGAGACCAGCCTGACCAACATGGTAAAACCCTTCTCTACTAAAAATACAAAAATTAGCCGGGAGTGGTGGTGCCCCAGCTTCTTCTTCGTGGAGGCCGAGGCCGGAGAATCGCTTGAACTCGGGCGGCGGAAGTTGCAGTGAGCTGAGATTGCACCACTGCACTCCAACACTCCAGCACTCCAGCCCAGGTGACAGAGCAAGACTCCGTCTCAAAAAAAAAAAAAAAGTCTAGTGCCTAACACAGTATCTGTGACACAGTAAGTGCTCAATAAATATCATCTTTTATTATTCAAGGGGCAAGGAAGGTGTATTTTGAAAAAGCATATACCACGTATTTTTTTTTAAAGGCCTACAGAAAGTAAAGCTTAACAAACTTTTGGCTGGTGGAATTGCCCAGAAAAGTGAGAAAGCCTTGAAAAGCACTATGCTGAACTACTGAATGCCATGGACATAACCTTTTAATTCCAATTAAAATTCCTGGGTACTAACATCTGCCATGCACAGCTCTCCAGTGTCTTGTCTGCTTACACTGAAGATGTAAAAAGAATTATACTTTGCCAGGAATCTTGTCAAATTACTACACACCTCCTTCCTTAAAAAAGAAAAAAAGTCTTTCTCTGTATGTAAATTATTAAAACCCTCTTAATTACGAAGTGCCAATCTTTCTAAGCTATTTATCTCTGAGCAACATTATAGTATATAAAATAATTATCTGGAGATTATGAAGCATTTATGAAACTGCTCCTAATACAGCAAAACCAAGTTCTTACTTGAATCCTTAAAGACTCTTCTGTGTTCCCCAGTATACAGCACTGCAAATCATGGGAACTACTATATGTAGACCAAATTTTCCTCAGTGGTCAATAGTTCTCCACTATCTGTTTATGGCATCTGGAAAAAAACACCTGGATTTTTTGTCTCCCCATCAATTCTATTACAGCCATCATTAGCTAAACTAAAATGCTGTTGCTTTTGCAACTTCCTTGGCAGACAAGATAGAACCTACCATTTTCACATAAACACAGCACAGGGCACAACTCAGGCCCTACTAACCAAAGCACAAATCTAGAATTTCACTTCAGATAATTAACCAGAGGCTCATTTAGACATTACTGCATAAATAAACATTGGTTCCATGTTTATTTTTCTCATGAAAAATGTGAAAAATATTGAAATAATTTCTCTCAATAGGAAAAGATAATGTATCAAGTGAAAGCAAAAACCTCATCTAATGTGGTTCTGCTATAGGTTAGATTTGAAATGTCCTAAGGCAACTCTCCAATGCAGGCTGGAGAGCAACGCTACAGAAGTCACATACAGAAGGCTACCCTGATCCACAACTTCACCCTACTCTGAAATATAAAGGGCAAGAACACTGTACTATGTATACTATAAATAGAAAGTGGTCTAGATGATCGAACACAATTACATAAAACCAGAAAGAAAAGACTTCTCACCTATAGTTACCTAAATAGCAAATTCTTTGGGAAACCAAATTTTTTTTGTTTGTTGAGACGGAATTTCGCTCCTGTCCCCCAGGCTACAGTGCAACGGCCCGATCTCGGCTCACTGCAACCTCGCCTCCCGGGTTCAAGTGATTTCTCCTGCCTCAGCCTCCCCAGTAGCTGGGATTACAGACTCTTGCCACCATGCCCAGCTAATTTTTGTATTTTTAGTAGAAATGGGGTTTCGCCATGTAAGCCTGGCTGGTCTCGAACTCCTGACCTCAAGCGATCAGCCCGCCTCAGCCTTCCAAAGTGCTGGGATTACAGACATGAGCCACCGCACCCGGCCGGGAAACTAAGTTTATATAGTAGAACCATCTGCACAATGAAAGCATTCAAAACTACAAGCGTCAGAGATATCAGAATATTTTATTCAAAGTCTGAATTTTTCTTAAAAAAAAAAACCTATTTTATAAACAGACCAGTTTTGAGATTAAAATGTAAATCCCAACTTTCCTGTTATAAATCTCAGCCTTGTAAAGAGGAGGAGCTTCCACTGCCTTTTCAAGGCTAACTCGGTTAAAGTCCTAACGCACCGAAACAGACGCCAAGTCTACTACCCACCACCCATTGGCTCAAAGGAAGCCCCGCCCCATACAGCCACGGTAACTGAACATCAAGGGAACCCCAGAAAGGTTTTCTCTCCGCCACATTTCTAGTCTCTGATGACTCCCTGCCCCTCCCCGACCATCACCATCGCGGAAACAGGGTTCCAGCACCAGCCACACACGCTCCTACAAGAGGACCTTAGGCACTTCGCCCCAATAGATACAACCAGGAGGGTGGTGGGGGTGACCATGCTCCCACTCTCCCAGCTGCACGGTGCCAGACACGCTGCATGGAGCAAACAGAGAAAGCAGCTCCGGCACAGGGCTCTTGTGCCCCAGGCAGAAGGCATGACAGAGCCACAAGAGTAAGTCCTGACACCTCCGCAGCTCTCAGTCGGCGGGAGCCCCTCCCACCCCACGGAGACATAAGGCGGGGCAGACCTAGGCGGCGAGACTCCCAGCCAGACCCGACAGCGGGCTTTCCCTAGCACCGCCTCATTGCCAAGGAGGCGGAAACCCAGGGCCGGGGTGGGAGGCGGGGGACGGCCAAGGGGAGTGGCATCACGGATCAGTACGGCCCCTCCGGCCAACCGGATCCCGAGAAGGCGGAGAAACTCAGACTTCACGCCCCCTCCCTGCCGCGCCCTGAATCTACACGCGGGAGACCCCCTACCCGTCCCCGACCCCAGCAGGCAAGAGCGCGGCCGCCAGCCCGAGGCCCCGCCCACCCCAGGAGGAGGAGAGGGGGTGGTCGGCCGCAAACCGCACTCAGCGAGAAGCCGGCCCCGCCCCTTTCTCCACAATCGCACGCTCGCGCCGGCCCCGCCTCTGAGCGGCGGCGCGAGAGCCCGCCCCCCTCCGCGCGCACCGGGACTACGCTCTCCTCCCCCTCCCGCGAGGAGAGCTACCCTGCTCCGCCCCCCACCCCCCTCACACAGCCACACACCTCCCGCCCGTCTGCTCTACGGGAAGCCGAGGAGGTCAGCCCCCCCTAAAAATACACACCCTCGAGTCCGGCGTTACCCGCCACTAGGCTCCCGCCCGGCCCCCGGCCCAGCGTGCTCTCACCGCAAAGCTGCTTCGGCCGCTCGTCACTGCGTGTCCCTCTCGGCGTGAGCCGCGAGCTCAGCAGGGAGGCCCTGAGAACGGCGCGGGGCACAGGCCCGCCGAAGCGGACTGCCAGCTACCTCTCCGCTAACGAAGCGGTCACAGGCCCCGGTGCCCAGACTGGGAAGGAGGGAGGGAGGGAGGGAGGGAAACTCCGAGGGGGGAAGGGGAGGGGGGAAGATGGAGAAACCGTCTCCGCCGCCTCTACCGCCGCGGCCGCTTCTCTGTTACCCGGGAAATCCCGCCCACTCCCCCGACCCCGCCCCGCAGGGGGAAGACTCAGCTTCGTTCCAACACAGGACGCAATACCCGCCCGTCAAAGACTGAGCCAATCACCGAGCCCTGCCTTATGACTTCCCGCCCCTTCCCCCTCGACTGGGAGGGGAGGGGGAGCAGCTCACCTTCTCCACGCCCCTATTGGCGGGGAGCGTCCCTAACTCAACCCCGCCTATTGGAGACAGACTGCTGAAGCCCACCCCCGAGCCACAACGCTATTGGAGGAAGCGGGGAAGCTCTTCCTGTCTCATTGGAGGACACCACATAACCCGCCCCGCAGCGTCTCAGCCACAGGCCTAACAAGTTGGCTCCCGCCTCCGCCGGTCATCGCATTGGAAGGCTACCCCTGGCTCTCCCACCGCCCCAGTAAGGTAAGTAACCGATGTGGGGTAAAATGTCTGTAAGTGAAACAGGCTCCGCCTACTGCACTGCCGGGCCAGGCCCCGCCCAAGAGTTGGATTGGCTATCTTGCACTGGTAGGACCCTCCATTGGCCAGGGCGCCCGTCTAGGAAGGAACTTAATTCCGCTCTGCGCGAGGAGGCTGAACCTTAGCAGTCCTTTTGTGGAATGTTTACACTAGAGACTGAAGCTCGGAGTTCCAGGGCCCGAGACAGGAGGGGGAGCGGAGCTCATCAGCGGAGACTCCACATCCTAGGATTTGAAAGAAAGGCAGTCCACCCCGGCGGACTCTCTTACAAAAAAAATGAGAATGCGAACTCATCCTCCCTATCCAGTTATCTTTGCAGTTTACATTCTACACACTGCGTCCTTGTAAACACTAATATCCGGAGCAGCTGGCAACTCCTTTCAGTCAAGTAGAGTACAGAATTAAGGTCTGGAGACCTAGGCGGAGAAATAACCCATAACCCCAAGGGTTGCCAGCGCACTCCCTAGAGCTGAGTGTGCAGTCCTAAGAGGGCGGAGATAACCAAAAGAGAGGCGGGCCCTAACAGCCACCGCCCTGGCAAGCCTCCGGAAGGCGGAGCGTGAGGCACAAGGTACTCACGATCTCCCGGGTGGATCTGTAGGCATCCTCAGAACTGAGAAAGAAGAGAAAAGGACCAAAACAGGCCACAGCATAAATTAACCTTTGGAACATGCCACACTCAGAGAAAGGATAAAACTTCCGTAGTTGGGGACATAACGGCTGTTCACCTTCTCCTTAGCCAGGAGTGTTAATGGTCCCTGTGCCCTCTCTGTGTAGGTAACAGTGCCTCGAACGCACAGTGAGACAAAATGCTTTCAATTCCTAGTTTGCTTTTATTTATTCACCAAATAGGGCGTGGGCCTGACGCTGACCTTACTTTGGGGGGCGCTCTCTCGGCGCCAGGAGGGGACGGGATTACGTTGTTACCGCTCTCCCGAAGAAGTAGAATCCTCCTCCCGGAGAGCTAAGACCCCAAGGGACAGGCCCAGGGAACCCACTCCTAGGTCCAACTCTGTCCTCCCTCTGCAATCCAGCGGAAACGGCCAGGAACGAGCTCTGGCAGCAGGTGGGCCTCACTCCAACGATGGCTTCGAGCCGCGAAACCACAGCAGCGAATTGCGAACTCCAAGGGTAGCCGACAGGTGGGAGCAGCCTCGCCAGTAGCCAAACCCTGCCCCAGGACAGAGGTCTAAAAGTAAGTCAGACCAACAAAGCGACCCCCGGGCCAAGCTGCTCCCAGGTTAGGAGGAAGCGGCACTCCAGCAGAACTGACCCAAGGCTACTTTTAACTTTGCTCCGCCTTCCACCACTAGACTGAGTAGCACAGGGCATTCCCACCATGGTATCAAGAACTACTCAGAACCCAAGCCAGCATTAGGCTGCCCACGACTTCCCGTGAACACAGGGTACCACCTGCGCTGGATCTCGCCTAAGGGCGCGAGGCCAGGGTACTAGGTTGTCAGAGTCTCGGATACAGCCAACTAAGGACAGCTGCTACCATGCCTAGGGAAGAACAAACACTTCCAGCGTCTGCAGAGTTCTCGAGCTTAAGCTCAGGGAAGTCAAAGGGCGCGGAAATAGCCAAGCGACAGGGTTAGAACTTGAGTACTTGGCCCCGGCCCCGAAGGGCAGATCTCAAACCCTGCAGAACCTACGAAGCTTCGCTCCCGAAATCCACTCCGCACTGTAATCCCCTGGCTTCACCCCGAAGGCTACCAGGTCTCCAGCCTCGGTGGAACCTTTGTGTGGCTTCTCGGCTCTCCCCGCCCCCCTCGCCAAGGGCGCCGAGCCTAGGACTTCCGGGCGGGAGGGCAGTTCGAAGGAGCTAGGCGGGCCTCACACATGTGCGGAGCGCGCTCAAGAGCGAAGGAGGGAGGCGGGGAACAAGGCTGGACTTCCCCCTCCGAGCTCTCTCCGCCGGAGGAGGCCGGGCTACCCGTCCCACCAATCCGAGGCGGGGGCGGGACCTTGCGCCTCGCGTCAGCCGCAAGAACCATCCCTCCTCCCTCCGCGGAAAAAAAATCCTAGCAACTTAAACTCCAGCCCGGCCTCCCGATAGGCGGAGCTCGGGAGAATGTCATCCAATCCACATCCGAGAAGGGGAAAAAAAGGGAGTCTCGTCCAGCCAGTGGAAGACAAGAGAAGGCGGGGCCTCCGGGCGAGCCCGAGGTGGGTGGGAGAGAGGAAACGGGCCCGCCCCTCAGCTCCCCTCCAGGCGGGTTGCACAAGCCACCAGCGGAGTAGATAGTAAACAGTCTGGGCCGAGGAGTGCAGGCAGGGGCCGCCCGGCGCTCGGTGGACTGGGCCCCTGCGCCGCCTCTCCCGGCGTCACCCCGCCCGGCCGGGACGGTTCCCGCCGGCGCCCCGCCTACCCGCCCGCCATCCCGGCTGACAGGCGCGCCCCCCGCGCCCCTCCCCGCCCGCTGATGCATTTCCTTTTCCCGATTCCGAGCGTGGAGACTGTTTTCCCAGTTTCCGACCTTCACTGCCCCTTTCAGGCCACCCCCTCGTGGGCGCGCACACGCCCGCGCCCTCGCCCCCGCCCCATCCGCGCCGAGCGGTCCGCAGCGGCATCTAGCAGGAAGGGGGAGCCCGGCGGCGGCACGGCCGGGGGAGGGGAAGAGAGCAGCAGTCGCCGCCGCCGCCTTGGGGTGGGCGGGGAAGCAGGCAGCTCCATGTTTGCAAGGGGATCAGCCGGGACCGCGGGGCGAAGCCGCCGAGTTTCTGGGGGTTTTCCGTACCACCGGTGCGAGCTCGTTGCCGGCTCGTGGCCTGCCGGGTGCCGGCACCAAATGCTGACTCGACCGCCAAGGCCAGGGAGTTTGGAAACCCGGCAGCTCGCGGGGCTAGCGGCGAGGCGCAAGGGATCTTTCCGGTGGCCTCTCCCGCCCCCGGCCGCCCCTCCCGCAAGTCCAGTGTTGCCCCCGCCCCCAGAGTCCATAACAACCGCGGGCCCACAGTGCCCGCGCCTCTCCGGAGCGCGCCCACCGCCCCCTCCAAGTTTGCAGGCAGAAACAAAACCCTCGAGGCGGCTGCCGCCCTTGTCCAGCGTGGGTAGCCAGGAAAGCCGCGGGCCCCGGCTCGCTCGCTAACTCCAGCTCTCGAGCAACTCCGGGCTCCGCGAGCTTAGTGGGCCCCGCCGACCATGCTCGAGCCGCCGCCCCCTGCCGAGCCCGCACGCCGCAGCTCTGGCCCGGTTCTAGTCGGTGTGCGGAATCTCCCTTTTCTTTCTAATATTTTTCTTTTTTAAAAAACGGCACAACAGGAACTGGGGGTCTCCTGCCCGCCCCTTCTCCAGTCCGCCGCCAAAACCTACCGAAACGGACTGCTCAGTGAGATAAACTAGGCAACACGGCCGGCGCAGGGACGACCCCAGGCCGGGCCCACCCCCTCCCCACGGCTCCGGCCCGGCTGGGAAACACACACACTGGCGAGCGGGCGGCGCCAAGAGCTCTCCTTCCTGGCCTGTCCCTCGCCTACCTCGGCCGCGGAACTCCGAGCCTCCCCTCAGCTCGGTCCCAGGGCCCACGGGGCCCACACCACGTCGGGCCGGCCAGACCGAGCGGCCGGCGGACTAACCCCCCAAACGCCTGAGATTGGGGGGACCAAATTAAAAGCAGCTGTTTAACATACCTTCCGAGCCAGGCGAGGAGTCCTGAATGGGGGGAACGCCCCCCACGGGCTATTGGCTCCCCGGCGCTCACGTCAGTCACCCTGGGCCCGCCTCCGCCCTTCGCCCCGCCTCTTCCCCTTCATTGAACGCCCCCTCCTTCCAAAAAATATAAATAAATTAATTGAACTAAACGCGAGTGGGAGACGCATCCGTGGTAGAGGCCCTTATAGCTCCCTTTCCGCCGACTCAAGTTTCTTGAGGTCCTCGGACTGGAGGGAGGCCTTCTGGGACTCGGAGATCCGCTGGGTGGACGCGGAGGAGGAGCCAGCGAGGCTACCCGGCCCCAACTTCCTTCACACACACAACCCATTTGGAACTAGGTAGGAGAGAAGGGTAGGAGCACCCTGGCCACTGGCTGGAGTGGGCAGACCCCTCTGGCTGTGTGACCTAACCGTGTTCGGTCCGCTCTGTTAGGCGCCTAAAAATGAGTGATGCAAACGGGAAGCTCTGCGTCCGCGGGCAACAGGCACTTGTCTGAGCACCTACTGTGGGTGAGGCAGACATTCATACCGTACCTGCTGCTGGGTGCAAATACAGACTGGATGACATGCTTACTCTACTCCTCCAAGGGCTCCAGATTCAGCCGAGGAGATTCTACGTAAAGAACTAAGTCAAGGCAGGAATGTATGAAAATAGGAGTTTGTATGTAAATAGGAGCTCAGAGAAGAGAGATTCCTTCTCGCTGAAGGAAAATTGGGAAAGGTTTCATGGAGGAGGTGGCATTCAAGTTGGGTCTTAAAGATTTCATCCAGCAGAAGTGGAGGGGCAGGTCATTTTCAGCAAAGGACACAAAGGGGTAAATGCAAAAAAGGACCTTCATATGTGGCTGTAGTAATTTTAAAAAGTGGGGGTGGGGAGATGGAACAAACAGTTTAAGACTTTTAATTGGGTAACATTCTTGGATGTGCACAGCAGAATGTGCAGGCAGCACGGTCACAAGGCCCACAGGCCCAGAACTATAGTGTAAGATGTTTGGCACCCTGGCAGAAAGATGGGTTCTGACGATGCACTGAGAGAGAAGTGTCTATAGGCAGCAAGGGGAGGCCCAGAGGCTGTTGTATTACTGTATTTGGAGACTACAGAAGTGTCTCTTGTGGAAGGAATAGCCGAGGGAAGAGAAGGCTTCTTTTCTCTATCAAAGCCACCCAATCCCAAAGCTTTCCCCACCTTCAGCAGCCCTCAAGTCAAAGCTTTGACTCAGATTCTTCCTTGCATCGTTTGCTTTATTTATCATAACTTTCAACCAAAAGGAGTTTCTAGGGACAGAAGCTACCCCACATGTCTGTATTGCAGAGAGCTGAGCCTAG